GTAGCAGATAATTTGACTAAAGCAGTAAATGGACCGAAACATGCATCATGTGCACTCAAAGCTGGATTGGTGCATTAAAACTTAGAAATTAAACTTGCGAAACTATAAGAGTTATTTTATTTGCTATACATATATAAATATATTGAATTTTTTTTCTTGTTTGTTACTATAAAGCAATTTCTAATATTTAAGGAGTGAGGGTGTTGTAAGAGAAAATACTGTTCTTTCTTTTGAACCGCGCGCCATGCTGCACTTAATAAGATGTTCTTTTGTACCTACGAAATGATACAAATAAATCACTCTCTTCTGGATTGTCTTTTGTCGAGTAAAGACGTGTCTCGCTTCTTATCCTAACTGCGCTCAACACTTGCCCTTGTTCCTGGATCTGTCTGCACGCCGTCCGGGCCTCCGTCGTCCCGTCTGCAGAATCCCTCGTAGGTCCCACGAAGGTTGCTCCACCTCAGTCACAAATTGGGAGTTTGGCCACTCACTACGACTCGCGCAATTCGCTCAAAAAGAGAATTAAGAGGGAGAGGTCGTCGCCCCCCGCGGTGGGGTTTCCGACCTCACATTTCCCTCCTCGATCGGGCTTTCTCGCCCTTGTGACGGACCTCGAAAATGTCACGTCACAAACTGAAGCTACACTAAAATCTGATTTGAAGTAAAGAATGATTATTTCAATTTTTAATTCTAACTAAAGGTAATGATATCTTTTTAATGTGACACAAGTATAGATATCAACTATTTCCTAATTTATATAGCCATAAAAATATGTTTCTCTCTCTCTCTCCCTTTTAGTTTTAAAATTATATTATTCGATAGTTTTATATTTTTTATTTAATAACTATTTTTTATTAATTTATTTTAGTTTTGAATATTACCTGTGTATAATCAGTCCCCATGTCTCAGTGCTATTGTGTTGAGTATCCCAGAATGCAACATAGTCTATTTTTGGAAATTTGTCTATACTAGTTTCACGTTTCACAGAGTATAGGACTTGTTGGGCGATACATTTCGCTAAATGTAAATAGTATGTCATATTTTTTCTACCCCAAAATGTGACATTTGCCGAAGAAATGTTGGAAGTGAATGTGGTTATCACAACCCTTAAATGTTGAATGGACATTAAAGGTGATTTCTCAAAATGTGTCCACATCATGTCACGTTTGTCATCATTTTCTGTTGTTTGTATAGGCATATTTGATAAAGCTGTGTAATTTTTATGATGCTTGATAGAAATTTTAAAGGTGGAATGAAATGCCGTTTTGTCCCAGCATGGGAGTAGTTGTCGAGCGGTTATTACATCAACATCTGTCGCTATTAACCTATTTAAATATCATAATTTAACAATTTGGTATTTATGAAATTTGAAATATAATTATACTCGAGGATCGACTGAGGACAGATTAAAAAAATATTGAGTTTAAAAAAATTGAATCATAGTTTATAACACTACAGAATTTTTTGAATGTATGACATTTCTACAACTTAAAATCGACAATTTTGAAAGTATTAAAATTATTTCAGTACTATTGTAACTATTATATGTAATACGCAATTCTCAGAATGCCATCTGATTAATAAATATACTTAATAAATATATATTTTGAAAAAAATATTAGCAAATATTCTTTATACTATAATTTTGTTTCAAATACTTTTTTAACTTACATGTTGTCTAGTTCTTTATTGGAGAATAGAGATTGAATAAAGTATTCTTTGTTATTATTTAGGTGACGCATATATGCTATCATTAAAGTGTATCTTCCAGGTGGTAAAAATTTTTGCTCTTTTAGAGTCTTAGTAAAATCAATCATAAGTTTATTTAATTTATTAGTAATTGAATATCTTGGAACATAAATTTTTTTACTAAGAAAGTTGTCATGCAAAGCAATTTTAAATATAGTGAAAGCCGCTGCATGCATAGATATATTTTCTATTTGACGAATAATATCTATAGTTATATAACATTCACCAATAATGTCATTTGTTTTGTAGTTAAATCTTATTTTAGCATAATAATGTAATGGTATTATATAATCCGGTAAATGGTTACTAACTGTAATGTCATTTTCGATATTGATAGCAGTGCAAAGTGCTATTGTAGCGATTAACATTATTTCGCCATTTGTTAAAAGCTTTTGGAATATCATATTTATTTTTCTTTATATAAAATAAATTTCTGAAAAAAGTATTTGTTGGCAATAAAACATATACATTTGCAACACATAGTTTTTAATTTTTATATAACAGAAAAAGGTACATAATAACGATTATAAATATTTAAACAAAAAAGATATAGAAAAAACCAAGATACACTGATTGTGAGAAAAAGTGTGCGATATTTAGAATTATAATAGCATGGTACTATAATTATAATTACGATACTCAATTTTATAGAAGTTGTATTGTTAGCAATAATAATTTTACACGTACAGTATTGCCAAACATATAACCAATCATATTGTTAGAATATTTTAAAAATATTGTTGACGCCAAAAAACAGTATTGATTATGGTTAGCGCTATTATTCTTTTCTTTCAGAGTAAAAGATAGTGAAAAAAAGAGAAAAGGAAAATTGATAAAATATGTTTGGTAGTGTTCAGAAAGATAGTAATATTGTGTATGAATAATTTCATAAACTGTTATCAAAAACATATTAAATATTAAAAAATTTAGAATATCTTTTAGAATACAAAAATAAAATAAGATGAAATTACGACTAAAAGTGCTAGTAATCTGAGAAACATTAAAATATTGAAATATTATACTTCTAATCAGTTATAATATTCTCAAATACATGCAAACAAATTGCGTGCGCGCACACACACAGTTAATTTTCACTTTGCAGAAATGATATTTATGATTATTACATATGAAGAGACTCATGTTGTACAAAGTAAAAAGAAATTATTGATACAGTTACTTATTCAGAAAGAGATTTGATTAAATAAACTTGTATTTATTATGCTTTATAAATTTTTCTATATTTTGAATTAGTAATATTTCGTTTCTAGTTACTTACCTACATTTATTAAAATCGTCAATTAAAATGCAATGGTACGTGAAAACTAACAATTTTGTAAGAATAATACAGTTAACATTGTCTTACACACAAATCGTGAATGCCAAAGGTATATAAACCAAACTGTGATCCTATTTGTACCGAGAAGTCTCCGTATACTAAGCGTATTCGTAACTGACATAATATATATATTATGTCTCACAAACAGTTGCTAACAGGTCACCCAACAGGAAACACTTTACTAGTCGACAGAAGAGCGCAGAAATTAAAATACATAATCAGTTAAATATGCGTATAAAAATCAAACTTGTATAGTTTTAGTTACTGACAAATCAAATTGTTAAGATATAATGTTTATAGGTTTATAAAAAATATAATTTGTGTAAGTATACAGTCTCGTATTAATCAAAATTGTAAAAAGAATCGGGGATTTGGAGCCGAGGCCATTTGTGTGTTGCTTTTATATATTTTTTCATATTAATATGTTGTAAGTTTCGGTCAATTCTTTGACCATCCTGAATAGATTGATGGTTGTTCAAATATTAGATTACATGATGTCAACGCTAAAAATTTTTTTTAATATGATACGATTCAATCGGAATAATTATCTACCTTGTATGGTACATAAATCTCTAAATTATCTAAACATACCTTGATATGATGAGATTCACCGTCATCATAAAATTCTACATAGTTGTTGGCAGCCAATACCATTGCCCAATTCTGATTCTGATTTCATAAACTCAAAGGTATGTTAAACAATTTATAGATTTTACACTTTGGATAGGTTTTTTCGAATGAATTGTCAGAATTAGTTTTATACTTTTAGTTCTGAGTACATACAACAATCGATATAATAAGCCGGTTAAAGTTTGGAACGTTCCTAAAGCGATTTTTTAAAAATAATTTGTCGTTTTTCTGCTTTTGCAGGGAGGAAGATTTGAGATCCACAAACAAAGTATAAAAGAGATCGATCCGATACATGCGTCGGAAAACACTTTTGTACCCGAAAAACTACCCCCAAAATCACTTAAACAATTCTCGCCAAGCTAAAAATGATTTGTCGCTCTTCTCCTTCTGCACAAAGGAAGTTCCAAAGCCCTCAACACGTACAAATAAAAGAAACCGATCGATACATGCGTCAGAAGACACAAAGAGAATTTTTTAAGTGATTTTGGAGGAGGTTTTTTGAGTATAAGGCTGTCTTCCGACGCATGTATCGGATCGGTCTCTTTTGTACTTTGTTTGTAGGTCTCGAAACTTCCTGCCTGCAAAAGGAGAAGAGCGACAAACCATTTTTTTAAAAATCGCTCCAGGAACGTTCCAAATTTCAACCAGCTGTTATTTTTTGCTTTTATTTCCATTTATTGTTGGAGAAAATGTTTGTCATAATGATGTATGGAATTATTATTTGATTTTACGCAAGGTTCATGATTTAATAAATGCCAAATATCTGCAAGAGGAATGCGCTGAGCTGCTTGCAGTGTTAACAGAAAAGCATCATGTAAAATATTGCAATCTTTTATGGATAATTTAAAAGCGAAACATCCTAATATAACACATTATAAAACTGCATTTAAAAAAAGACCTTCATCTCATTTAAGTGTTGCACGATTTGAATCAAGAAATCGATTCTTAACTTGCTGCGAACGCCACGTGTTCTCGTAAAAATATTACTCATTCACTTGCTGTAAAAGAAGAATTTTATCTTTGTTATAGATTTTCATCTAAAATGGGTTTGATTGATAATCAGAAACTAGATCTAATACTTTTTGCGGATGACATTTCATTTTCGAATAATTTTTCTACATTTAAGAATTCTTTACCAGCATATATACTTTACGGGCAAATGTTTAGAAGTTTCTTAGGCTGAATTTAGAGGAATTATTTATAAGTCTGGTTTATGTGTCGTTTTAAATATTTCTTCCAATCATCTTCCTCAGTTTGGCATTGTGAGACCGTTTTGTGTAATAATTCTAATAATTTATGTTTAGTATGCCAAAATCTTCTCAATATAGGATTCTGCAAAGATCTTCATGGTTATGAAGTTGAAATACAAGCAGAAATGTCTTGTATTGTTGTTGAAAATTTATTTTATCCTCTTCCTGCTATTATTGCACGTTTATGTAAAAGTGGAATTCTTTTGATGATGAATTCTCAACTAACATGCTTTGTAAATTTACACTTACTTATAATAACAATATTAATAATTTGCTGTAATAAAGTATAGCACTTTAGGTTACTTTCTGGTATAGTATCTTTACTTGTGGTAATTGATATTGAAATAATAATATATCTGTAGTATATCTGTATGCAATTTACGTGTCTATACAATAATAATTTTTCTTTATGGTATGTTAATTTCGTATATAATAAGAGAGAGTTTATAGTTTATTATAAGTTTATAGTAAGTTTTTTTTCTCTATAATAATGTAATAATTTTTTTATTTTGTAATAAAAAATTAGTAAGTAATTCGGTAAGAAAAGATTTGTAAGAAAAATAAATATGTAAATTATTATTGTGTATATGTGTTTATTATTATACATATGAAATATATGTATATTTTAAACCTAAATATATATTATTATTTCTAAAAAATTACACCTATCCGAACTCGTGTTTTAACTACAAAGTTGTGTTAATCTAACAAAACGATATGGTAATATTAACAAGAAATTCTGGTAGATTTTTGTAAACTTAACAAAATTGTGTAGCGAAGTTAACAAGAAATTCTGGTAGATTTAAACAGGATGGAATTAATCAGAATTCTCTGGTAATTCCAATAAAAAATTTGTTTCGTCCATTTTCGAAACAGCCTGGTAGAATCAACCAGAATTTCTTATAATACAACAAAACTTTTTTTCCAGTGCTGAAATTAAAATTAGTAAATTGATATCTAAAATTAAAATTAAAATGTATGTAATTACGAGTTTTTTTGTTAGTTCACTCTGTTTTGCTGCGGCAACAGAGAGCACACTCACTAAAATTTATGTTGTCTATGATGATCTACAAATCGTACTCTCTAAATTTTTTTAAATTTCGTGTATCATAACATAATTCGAAATAATATTTCAAAAAAATTATATTAAATAGTACTTTATGTGTAGAATTTGTTTTTAACTTTAATTAAACAATTTGTATTTATTTTTTTAATCTATTCAAAAATTGATTTTAAAAAAGTACAAAAAATATATTGAAATTTATGCAACCTTTATAATTAAAATATATAGCTCCCTAAAATTATGTAAATGAGATTCTCAAGGTTTTTATTTGTTTACATAATAGACTACAATTTACTGCGAAAGTAGGACTGGACAACCGCATAAACATCTTAAATGTGTCATTCATAATAAAAAATTTTATGTCACGGGTTAGATTATAAAGAAGTGAATAAATAATTGAAGTGACAGGAAGGAGAACGGATGTCCCAGATGCACATTTAAATTAATATTTACGTTTGCATATGCCATAATTCTAAAGCGTATGGCAAAAATCTAAATGTATTTTAATTACAAATGAATTATATATAAACTTGTTTGATTTTTTTATTGTAGCAATAGGAAACTCACTATCTCCAAATTTATGTGATATATGGCATGTATGAAATTATGTTCCTTTAAGTTTATTAATACATGTGCTGTATATATTATTTTTGCTATGTTTTTGTCATCATAAAAAACTAAAACAAGTTCGATTTTTGACAACATAGTATTGCATATCAAGCACAATTTATTTCAGAATTTACTTATAAAATGCGTCGTTAAGAAACTTGCAAAAACTATACCATGCTCTACATAAATTAATAAACAATACACAATTGCATCCGTACATTCAGCGACGC